CAGGCACTGTGCCAACAGGGTCAGGGTGGGAGAGGTGGGTGCACAAGGCGGGGAGCAGGGACGAAGAGTGGGTTCGTTTCACAGACAAAGACACTGTACAACCAAGCCTGTTTTGACGAACACGTCACCCGAATGCCCAGGAGTGGTTGCTAAGGGAGAGGCCTTGACTCAGTCCATTAAGGAAACTGCATGCAACTGTCCAACGTGTATGTTTTGAAAGGACAAAAGGAAGCAGCCGAAGAGCTGGCCTGGAAACCAGGTCCTCCTCCAGCTCTTGACAGGGCACCCAACATGGAGACGGAGCTCATCGGAGGGTCGGACGGAGGCCAGATGCCTCGGATGATCCCATCGCACGCATTTGCAGGAGACGTGCTTTGCAACACCCCAATCAACCTGCTAGCTCTCTAGAAACACCTGATCTCCCCCAGTGTCAAAAGAGGAAATTGATTCAGGAGTTCTCGTCTCTGATCACCTTCCCCACCACCTCCCCCTTTACCTCTCGAAATACGAAGCTGCAAAAAAGATGAGTTTCATTAGTCCCGGCTAGACAGAATAACGAGCACCAACGCAAGCCTTCATCTATCACCCGTGATGCCACCAAACAACACCCACCCTCTTGGAAAAGCCCCATGGAAGGGATCCGCCTCCTTTATTCAAAGGTCCCAGGAGTTCTACTGGATCAGAGATCTGCCCTCCAAAAATAGAAAACATCACCAGCTAGAAGGATTCCGTTTCCCAGCCAACCCTAAAAGACCCTGAGGACTAGCGGCTTTCCAACTAGGATCTAAAGTTCCAAACATGTTGTACTTATTCGCAGAACCGTGATCAATCATAACTGCTTAATATATTTGGCAAGAAATGAAAATAAAAAGGTTTTAAAGAGAAGGAAAAAAATCACTTGATAAAGGCAAAAGGATGAAACTGCTCCCCTCTTTGATCCTGGGCTGCCAGTATGACTTAACCAACCCAATGAACAACGTGGAAAATTCTCTCTTCCTTTTCCCAAACCCGACCGGGTCTGCCTTCTTTGCATACAGGAGAACCTATTACTGTGTAAAAAGGCCAGGATGTGTCCAGACACAAATATTACGGTGTTGGTTAGTTCCCTTCCATATCTTTCCAGAGGAGTCTGGCAGAGCATCCCTTAAATGAATCAAATAGAGGACACACCTCTTGGCCCCACCTTTCAGCCCAACCACAGAAAACCGTCCTCATGCAACAGTTCGAACAAGCATCCATCACACGGATGCCCCACAGAGTTGAGAAAGCAGGTGAGAAAATCTGAGCGCTGGACAAAACCAATGAAGACTTCATCTGACAGCATTAAAACCCTTCAATAAATATATTTTAGTCCAAAGAAAATCTCCAGCAGAGACAAAAGGAAAGTCTGCACCAGGCGTTCTCTGGCTGGATAAAAAATTCTGAGGATGATGTACATGGCGTGGCAGAAAAAGGTCTATAACAGCCGTCTCTGCCTCACCTGAGACCAATGGGGGCCAAAACAATGGTGACGGCAGAAGAGCACGCAGAGAGGAGATACCCGGACACAGGGAATGAAATCCTAGGGGGCTTTAAGAGAAGCTGCCCGGGTTTCACCTCCCATTTTATTGAGAGCAGCGATCAGCACCATTTGTAACCCTCTGCCATTTCCCCAAACCAACCAACGGCCCAAGCCAGACGGGAAGTAAACTATGGGGTCAGAATATCATCCCCTTGCTGCCCACCCATCCAACAAGCGCACGGCACTTCCATATCACGGACGGGGAGACGATTTGCGGGGAGACTATTCTTCCACCCCAGTGTTAGTTTTGAGGCATGGGGCCTCACAAGGAGGACACAAAAGCACATGCTAGATTTTATTTATTGAGCGAAGAGCTAAGCGACATAAATATTTATCTATCACTGTTGGAAAGAAACCCCAGGCGCGCCATTGCATGCGTGGGTTTCCAAACATGATCCTCGGATGGCTGGAAATATTTACGTTTAGCCCAAGGCAGGGCTGGGACAAAGTTTTGAGTTCAGTGCTGAGAACTGCATTGTCTCCTCTCCCCCCCCAAGCACCTCCGTTGTGCCCCCAGGCCAGATGAAAGGATGAAAGAGCATCATGCAGCAAAGTGAAAAATTAGTTACGAGCTTCCTATTCCCATAGGGTCAAAGGGATTCAAGATTGGATATGGAGATCATTTGAAATAAGGGTCTATGCTGTGGCCCTGAACAAAGCATAAACATGACCCGAGAAACACACATGCTGTCACTCTCTCTCACCCAGACACACTCCTTCGTTCTAACATTAACGTCATTTACAGAGAATAACAGCAAAGGTTTTCAATAAACTTTGCAAAACGGTCTCCCTGCCGGGAGGAAATGGTACAAGGCTTGGCGTCACCAACCCTTTTAGGTTCGTTTTAAACCTAAAGCTCAGAGTAGCCCATCTTAATGGCAACTTGTCAAGAGTGCTCCAGGGTCCTTGGAGGGCAGTTGGCACTGAACGTCATCATCCAAGAGGCAAACAAGCTTGAGAGCCAAATCGAGAGTACATTAAGCGTCCGTGTATCTTACCTGCAAGAGAGAGAAAGAGAGAGAAAGAGAGGCGAGTCAGGATGCTGTTCCTATAGAAGAACATGGAGGCTGTTATGCAAAAACATGCAGACACTGTGAAGAGAGAGAAGGCAGCACCAGAAACAAGACCCTTTTGCAAGGATAGAGAACCAGAGACGTTTAATACCGGACACCTACTTCATATTTCTTTCTTATGGACACTGGTGAGACCATGACTCATTTCCTGCATGCTCTTCAGCCATTCTGCTCCTGCTCCTCCAGATCCTTCCCTTAATGCAAATCTGCTTGTTTTTCAGCTTTCCTGAGCTGACATTTTTTGGCTAATTCATGCATGGCTTTCTTCTCCCTATCTTGTGCATATATGTGCACACACACATATATATATACACACACACATACATCTGCTCCATTTTGATGCCCGCATTGTTAAAGAACTACCTTCACATTCCCATCCGTTACCTATAATTTTGAACACACCACTTTCCAAAAGAATTTATTAGCATGGCCTAATGACGAACAGTAACGATGAGTTTCTGAATCATCTCAAGCATAACCCGGTGCTTCGCATGGACCTCTCTTTAAAAAAAAAAAAATCCTGTCCAGGGGCCAGGGTTTGTTTGTACAGACTTGTTAAACATTTGCATTAAAGAGACATAAGCAACCACTCCCGCTGTCATATGTTAAGTTTATTTCTGCTTATCTGAGCATTTCCCATAGGGTAGGAAGCTAATGACGGCTCTCCATCATCAACAGCCCTCGGTGTTTGCATCCATCCCCCGTTTCCATGACAGCTGGGTCACTAACTCCCCAACCACCTCCACCGCGCACGCACGCCAACTGTGCCGTTCGGAACAGCGAGGTGGAGGGCCCTGCAGTCAATATCCACCGAGCACTTTCATTAACAAACTGCCCTTAATTACAGAACTAATTGCAAAATTATTTCATAGTAGCAATTATTTTTTTTCCCTTAGACTGATCCAAGCTATTTGAAGTAGGAGATGGCTGCCTACATAAGGGGCATTGAGCCAACTCATTTATGGCTTTCAGTGGGGTGGTCCACCTGAAACAACAAAAATCAGACACACAAACCGCACTGCTGAACTACACAACAATTGCTGTGCACTTCGGGTCCAGTCAATTTCATTTCCTGCTGTTTCCAACGGCCTCCTCAACTCAGAGTCTCCGTCTTCTAAGGACAGCTTCGTTTTAGGATAGTAACTCCAGCATTGAAGGATGCCCCTTAGAAAAGTCGTAAGAACACAGAAAGAGTCTTAGGTGCAAAGACTCTTTCCTAGCACAGCCTTCTAGCACGGCTAGAGGTTGGGAGTTCAATTCCCCGTTCGGCCTCGACAGGTGCCAGACCTGATGATCTACGAAGCCCCTCCTAGCTCTGCAGTTCTAAGGTCATTATTTCTTATTATATAAGTGTCCCAAAGAGGAGCCCATGAGCAGCCAGGAGACACAAAAGCAGCTTTCCCAGGGATGGCCACACCTGGAGGCAAACCACCTCCTAAAACCGAAGGTGCTCGAGAGTCACCAGGACGAGTTGCCACGAACAGCCTCATCCACCAAGGATCTGCCTGATCCCTTTTTAAACTTGTCCAAGTTGGTGGCCATCCTGTAGGACATCACATTTCACAGAATTAAGCATGTGTTATATAAAGAACTTCCTTTTTACCTGCCCTGAATAATTGACCGTTCAGATTCATTGAAAAGATGCAAAAGTTTAGCACTGGTTTTCATCTGTTTCTGCACGCCAGGTGTAATTTTATATGCTGCTCTCCACAGTTCCAGGTGTAATTTTATATGCTGCTCTCCACAGTTCACATTTCTAAATTGAAAGCAACCTCAGCATACATTGAAACGTCCCACACCCTCACAGAGGGCCTAATCCTGTACCCTGACCGGTCTTGGCAGCTTTTTCCGACCCTGGCACAACCGCCAGGCCTGTACATTACGCGACGTCCCAGGCATGCTGGATTTGCAGGAAAAAGAAGGAAAGACCAGCAGCTACAGGCTTACTTGTAGATTATTTTCCTAATCTCCCCAACACAAAATCTGCGCTTTTGACCGTTGCGGTTCTGAGAACAGTCTAAGGAGGTAGGATTACAAGTTTATTTAGGTTTTGTAGCCCATAGACCATATTACACACTGTGTCAAGTTTCAGAGTTTTAAAAATGCATTTAAAACAACAACAACAACAAATTAGTCTTGAGCTGACTTTGCAAAAATTGTGTCGTAGTTGTGTCAAGTTTTTGTTTGTTTCGTTTTGAGGAAGAACTAGTAAACTTTAAGGCATTACCCATGCCTCCAAGTCCACCTCCTGTATATTGGATTAAGAGTCTAAACCTTCAAGGGTGTCTTCAGCCAAACAAACATTAGGGTTACATTTTTCAGTAAGAACTGCAACAAGCAATGAGCTGTTTTTCTCCTCATTCCAGGAAAAGACAGCTCAGGGGCCAGGGGCTCTTCCCAAAAATGAAAGCAGAAGAACTTTTCCATCTACGTTGAATACGGATCTCCCCAGAACTCGGCTGTCGCGCAAGGAAGCACCAAGACAAATGAGGTGCTTTTATGCAAAGGAAGTACAGCCAGATTAAAAACTCTTCATAGATCAACACTGGAGCCAGAATGAGGATGTATTTCATTCTGATGATTTAGAATGCTATATTAATGAGAATAATTGAGGCAGATCCATCAATAATCCAACATGCTGGGAAAATGTTCTATGTACTTTGAATCCCCTCCTTCAAAAAACAGCACAAAAGCAACCCAGTTTGACTGAACACATCTACAGAAGAGACAAGGTGCTCAGCAACCGATTTTCTGCCTTGGGAGAAGGCCCAGTGGCGAGGCTGGCTTGATTAATCCTGTGTAATTTCTGTGCCACTGTGCGTGTTTTTGTTTTAAAAAAAAAAGCATTTCCCAGAGCAAATATGTTCACTGTAAGCGTGGCATTCTTTGGAAAAAAAATGTATATTGTGAAAACTCCTGGGCTTCCCACAGTTGGAGAGAGCAAACATCGTAAGACAGGCTACCATAAAAGTGTCGTTTATGCTTTACTGGCTGTTCGGCTCTTAAAACATGCACATCGTATTCTAAAGCATATTTAATATCCAGCTATGGCTGCAAAAATGAAAAAAAAGGGGGGGAGGGAAAAGGGAAGAAAGGCTTTTGACAGCAATCACAATCGAGGGAACTCGTGCAGGTGAGAGATAAAGGGTTATGAACATTGTGTTTGAGAGAGTCTGGAGGCCAATTGGTTACGTTCCTCTCCATCCTGTGAATGGGAAACTCCCATTTCTCTCGCGGCAGATGGAATGAAAGGCCGATCACGGCCGGTGTCCCGCGGTCCTGCCTAGGACTGGTTCATCCCCTGCTATCTTCCCAACCTTCTGTATTTCGGAGGCAAGCTGCCTCTTAAACTGGGGGCTGTCATGTAGCCAACAAGACCAGCAATCTCTAGCAGATGTGGTGGCGACGGCAGTGCTTGTGGTGATGGCAGTTATGTGCTACCCGGTCCCTTTTGACTTAGGGTGGCCCTAACAATAAGCATTTATTGTTAGGGCCACCATACATGGGAATGGATGGTCCATGGAATGAAGGAATCTGCCTTCTGCTGGGTGAGACCCTCGGCCCACCTAAGCCCATTCCTGTTGACCCCTGGACGGCAGCCATGGCTCTCCAGGGATTCCACCAGGATTTTCTCTGAGTCCTTTCCTAAAGACCCCTTGTGGTCTCCCATCTATGCGCTAGCCAGACCCAACTCTGTTGACTCTCTGAAATCAGGCAAGCCTTGATGTGTTCAGGGTGGTATGATTATTTTAACATATAGGGGGTCACCTTACAGATTGGCGTAAAGGCATTATATTACTGGTGGCCTTTACAGTGATGCCTCACTTTACGATTGCCCCACATTACGACAAAACCGCTTAACGACAATCGTTTTGCGATCGCAATTGCGATTGCAAAACAATGGTCTGAATGGGGAAATTTTGCTTTGCAATGATCGGTTCCCTGCTTCAGGAACCGATTCTTCGCAAAACGATGTTTTTTGAACAGCTGATCAGCGGTTTCAAAATGGCCACCGGGTGATCAAAATGGCTCCCCGCTGTGTTTATGGACGGATTCCTCGCTGTACAGGCAGCGAAAATGGCCGCCCTATGGAGGATCTTCGCTGGACAGTGAGTTTTTACCCCATTGGAATGCATTGAATGGGTTTCAATGCGTTTCAATCAGGGTTTTTTTCGCTTCACGATGTTTTCGCTCAACGGCAATTTTCCTGGAACGGATTATCATTGTTAAGCGAGGCACCACTGTATCTGCCATCATCTTCTTAACTATCCCTTCCGCAGACACTTACATTTCTGCAGAATGCAATGGCCTAAATCCAGAACTGCATTTGTCGAAGTGGTGGGATTTCTGGGCTGAAATCCCCCAGTCAGTCTCTTAATAGAGTAGATCTGCTGAATCAGGAGGGAGTTGGTGAACCAATCCCACTGCAAGTTCCTACTCTAGTTGCAACTTATTATGAAATTTCAGCCAATGACTCGTAACAAGACGTTTACGCTAGTGCTAACCTAGCGTTTATGCTTTATGCAATCTCTCCATAAACTTCAAGAACAGGTTTAAAATGCAGGTAAATTTGCAAAGACGTGTTGAAATTGTATCACTTAAAGGCCAAACACTGCATGAATGCATGACACACCTTCATAAGAGGGTGTAATTCCAAGCAGGTTTTAATTAAATTTCTTCCCCACTTTTCCATTGTAAAGAGTAAGACTGAGGTGGAGATTATTCATGCTAAAACATTAAAACTAAATATATTAATGAATAAGCATAAGCCCCAACACCACATATTAAAAGATATTTGATCCCACACCTCCTGTGCCTCCTCGGAAAAGAGCCAGCTGGAGGGGCCTCCTGCGCAGCTGCACGTCCCAGGGCACCCCGGAAGAACAGAAGGGTTAACCCTATCTGAGTACTCTCTACCTGCAAAACCCTGGAAAGGGTCACCATAATCAAATTTGATGGCATGCAATTATTATTGCTCACTATACAGCATGATCTATCACCGAGTATATAGTCTTCCTGTTTAAAATCTCCTTGTGACCATTTGTAGCTATAGGATTTTCAGACTGTGCTGACCACTAATGTTGCCTGCACTCTACCTGCAAAATTGTCCCTGAGCTTCTTCTGAACAACACTTTGCCCCCACACTCCGCAAGAGAAGCAGGCTTTCGTTAAAGCAAGAGAAACAGGTTTTATCCCCCACCCTTTATTCTTGTAAATTATTGCCCGCCACCTTGTACACGAGGCACAAATGAACGTTTGACAGAGAAGGACTGGAAAGAGTTGGCCCGCAAGCATCTGCACTGGTCTTTCATGGAGACCAGGCTTCTTCGGCTGGCAGGGAAACGGCTCGGCTGTGCCTCCTGCTTCCTGTAGGTGGAAGCAAACGCCGTGCCGAGGCCAGGACACGTTGCCAACAAGGCGGCCGAGAATTGTTCTGGCCCCGAGCACTGAACAGACGCAGCAGGAGCAGCGGTCGCACAGGTTCCTCCCTGCAGCAAAAGGAGGCACGGCCAAACTGGAGGATCCCTCTCACGCCAACAGCCCACCTCCAGAATCGAGTGGCGCAAGGAGGCCGTCCTTCTGGTGGCCACATAAACTGGACGCTAAGCTTTCGGTGCACACTGCAGCTTATCATGACAAACCAACGTAGGGAAGATTTGCGTCATGGGCTTGCCAAGCAAATACCTTCACACTGAAAGCTCAAAGCCCATCCATAAGCAGGTCATCACAGCTGCTAAATGGAGGGGGGGGGCATTTGTGCCAATGAAACAGCAAGTAGACCTGTATTAAAGGCATTCATAACGATTCCTCTGATATGTGGGGCCAGAAGGGGAGAGCATGTCTTGCCCCAGAAACGGGCTCTTCAGAAGAGGGTGAATCCATACCCAGTCTGCGCTAGACCCCCCACCCCATCACGACTGGGAGATTTCCCAGGGCACAATGTCCTCTTCTGTTTTCTTAAAATTAATGCTTGGTCTTCCAGAGTCAACTAATTGGAAACTGGCCACGAAGGAGCCCTTGATTTGTACGCTGTCTCACTTGACGTCAAATCCCACGGTGAGGTTGTCTCACAAGCCTTCCCCCGTGCCTGGTGCAACAGCATTTTCAAGATGACACAAGTCTGTTCTGGGAGCTCATGGTGAAAGAGCGCAATTGAACGCATCACGGGACATGGTCAGCTTTCTATTGATTTCTCCCCAAATGCATTAGCAGAGTACTTCCGAGTAGGAGATAAAAATACGGCGCTCGGAAGGTGAATGACCAACGAAATCGGAAGCGGTGCCGTGATCCACTCCGAACGCCCCACGGGAAAATGGCCTGCATTCAAAAGAGGGCAGATAAAGGTCCCAGAAATGCAAATCTATATACTGTGTTTAGCAAAGAACTCGGGATGACTTGATTCATTCAGGCAGGCAACTCATCATACATGCAAGAGTCGGGCACGGAGATTGGCCCTTCTCTTCGACATCCAGACTCCACAGTCTTTCTCTGCACAAGTTCCGGATTTGATTATGAACAAAATTGAATTACACAAATATTTCACTAAATATCTTTTTAAGCCTCATCAATATTAATAACAGACCTATCTCCTATGCGCTTGGCATTTAAAAGCCCATTTCAAATATATATATATATATCCACCTAATTTAAGGCATGCCTCTAGCATATGAATGAGTAGAGCGGGCCTCCCTACTCCGTTTTGCCCTGCGCTCGCACACAGTCCCCCCTGCTTCTTCCTGCCTGTCACCCAGCAGCCCTTTAAAATGATGAATTTTAACAGCTCTGGATGCCAAACATGCAATATCTGTGACCACAGAATCTGAGACACACTGAGCCAGGCCTCCCAAGTCTTTACACCAAGATGCAAGATCCGTTGAAGTTGGAAATTAATATTAAAATCCAGTAACCAAGGAAAAGAGATTGATTAGTATTTATGTGAGCTTGTTTGTCTGCCTCTGTCTAGTTTTTAAGGATAATCTTTCAAGCCCAAACTCAACAAAATGTAGATTCTATCTTATCTGCCACCACCCACTCTCTGTAATTTAAAAGGCGAAGTCTTCGGCACATCTATCACAGCTAGAGCAAAACCTGTTTTTTTTTGGGGGGGGAATATGCATATGATCAAGTAGGGCTCCAGCCCCCAACCAAGCAGCAGATCAGGGACAAGCAAAATACTGAAGGGGGGGGGAGTACAAAAGACACACCGGAAACTGAAGTGGGGGCTCACTGATTCTGCAGAGGCACCTCGTGACTAGCCAGCCTTTGGCATCCGTAGGCACAAGGAATGTATTGAGAATTTTTGTGCATTGCATCCCAGCTCCGAAAAGGTGCTCGAAACAGTTTACTTGATAACATAAAGCACTGATTATCAACAGAACCTCTGCACTCACCCTTCTG